TAAATTAAGATTTAAAAACCAAGCTCATCTGGCATTTCACAGATTTTTCAGATGGGAATTTTTTATTAGTGTTTTGGATTTCAAACCATTTCACTTGGAATAAAAACTACTTGCAGTTTTTCTGCTATGTGTTGGGTCCGCCTGTAGCCAGTGGGTGTTCAGGTCTAGAGAGCAACATAGAAACCAAGACATTTGCACAAGGCAGAGGTAACAGCACTTATGACCCCCACAAAAAAAATAATCTTTCTCCTTGACTTGTAACTACTTGAAGTCATAAAAGCATTTAGTTTACTAAACTAGTTGCTTAACCTACATTCAATATCTCTCAGAAGAGAGAGGCCACATTCATTCCTCACCAACACAGGCTTTGGAGACCACACCGCAAAAAAAAAAGAGGAGTAACAAATTTGATTTTACTTGTTTTCATTATAAGCATTGCACACACAAACATTTTCAGTTTTAATTAAAAAGCAACTCACTTGTGTGCAAGTCTTTTACGCTAAAGAGTTTCATTTAAAAAATTCTTCTCCTCCCTCCCTCTGCAATCTTTTCTGGAGCGAAATAATCCTTTAATCTGACATGAGCTAGATTGTCCTTCAGTTCAGGCTTGGATTATTTTACAGATTTATCAAGTCTTCTCCATTTCACTGTGTTGCCTTCTCCCAGCTTCAATGCAAGATTAGTTTGGGGAAGTATATAAAGCTGTTTCCTGTGGGTGGATTATCGCAGCTATTTATGAATTTTTATGCTAACCTGATTCTCAACTCTTCTTTTGGAGCAGACATCTTCCTTCCCGCATAAAACCAGCAGCTTTTGCCTCAGTGCCCACTGCCCACCAGTGCTACAGATTAAGAGTGAACACAGCAGCTGCAGGTGTTTGGAGCGAGGGCAAGAGTATACAAACTCTGAAGATGATCATTGCAAATGCAAGTTTTCCACTGCAGCCAAGATGGTTACTCACAGATGATCTTCTTTCAGAAGTGCAGTTCAGCTGCAAGTGCAGAAAATGCATTTGAACCAAGTAAACTCTTAATATCTGCTCCATTTTTGTTTCAGCCAAAACATACCTTTCTGTTCCAGGGAGTTATCCAAGAGATAAAATCACCTTGTTTTCCCCCTTAGACTTTAATATTCTGCCCACCTTTTCATATAGGCACTGAGATATGAGATCCAGCCTTTGATAAAACAATAATTGATAAACATTTTGCATTTTCCTCCTTTTCACATCTCTGAAATGCCAGTAAAGAATAGGATTTTTAAACATTGAGATACTGACAAGATACTAAGCTGCAGGAAAGGGAGGAGCAAAGTATCTATATCATACATTTATTAGTCTCATCTTCCTCATTCCCTTGCCAGATTTGAATTGCCTGCTTTCCTACAAAGGGGCACCAGGGTATCTTTAAGTAATCCAGAACTACTGGAAACAACTGGCTTGTGTCTGGGTCTCAACTTCACTCCATCCTTCAAGGCAGCAGAATTATGAAACACGTGCTACTCTTCTGAAAAAGGCAGTTAAACATTAACTTCTTCATTTGCACGTGAAGTATGGTCAAACACAAAACACATTTAGGAAAAAAAATATGAAGACTCTGTCAGGTCACATTATACCACTTTCTTAAAAGTAAAACAGAAGATGTCCTGACAGAGTTCTGGTGATGAGGAAGAGAGGAAGGTTTCATTGAATCAAAGACCAGTTTAAAGAAAGTTGCCAAAACCTTAAAGAATAAAATCATAGCACAAAGTCAACAACATAAAAATGAAGCTTTGTAAATCCGAGGGGGCCATATCTATTTGCTACAGCAGTGACCGCCAGATGTGGTACACAACAGCCACTAGTTTTTCCTGATCCATCTTTCTCTAGTAAGAACTGAAGTGCCTAACTGAAAGAGCAAGTCTGCTCAAGTGCATCCTGCTGCACGGGGCACAACGCTTCTACAGCCACAGCGCTTCTACTTGCAATTGGTGTCTGGCAGGAAGAGACCTCTTAATGGAATAAAAACAACCCCGCTGTCTCCAAGTACATGACACCCCACTTCATCTGGAAATCTATTGTCAACAGAGGGAAGGTACTGGTAATTGGTGAACGGCAGACATTGCAGCTTCAAGTGTGCAGCTCAGAACAAAGCTGTGCACTGACAAGAGATGACAGCCTTCAGCTGATGTCTTACCATTACCTCTTTCAGCAGAAATTGAAAGTATTTTCTCTCCTTCCCACTTTTACATGATACCAGGTTTAGCATGATAAACCTTGAAATGATAGCTATGGAAAAATATTAGGAAAATAAATTAGGTTTACATTTGCATAACTTCCCAAAGTAGTTTCACAACTTTTAAGTTTCCCCCACTGGTACATTACATCACATTAACACAGTGTTGGAAACTACGACAAGAACAAAGAGTGCAGGAGCTCAAGGTACCACATCAGAAATATACCCAAGCCCCCATGGAGCTAACAAATTATAAATTCCTGAAAAAAACATGAACAGCTATATCAATAGAGGGTTTCTGGAAATATCATGGGGACTCTGTCCTTTCCCTCCAACTGCATGGCCCTGCTTATGCCATTAGTGTTCTCTTTAAACAAGCAACGCTCAGGAATTATGAGCCAATGATTTATAACAGAGCACCAGGAGCATCCTCAGCCCTTCTTCAAGAAGGTAGAAAATACTGACACCTGTTATGTGTTATTTATCAAAGCTTTTTGTTCCGTTTTTGAAGTAGTGATGTCGTCCTTTCACAAAAAGAAGTCAGCAGGCCCAAAGCTGCCATGTAAAACACACAACGTTGGTTTGAATCTGCTACGTGCAGGGAGCAGCACCCAGTTGTGCTTTGGCAGAAATGGCTAGGAAGGACAACCAACCCAACACCACCAGCCGCTGTTTCCATCTCACTTGGATCTCTGCTAGCAGTCAGCACACCATGGCTCCTCCTGGTCAACATCTAATTGCATGAAAGAGGGGTAACAGTGGCCCTACTGGAGCTGCATTCTTTTCTCTGTTACAGGCCATCAGCATTGGAAAAACCAAAAGTTTAGCTATGCAAGCAGATGCCCTCCAGAGTTACCTTCCATGGCTGTGCCTTGCTACCTGCCTGCATCCCTCCTCCTCTTTGAGGAACCTCCTCCCTTACTCTAGGAATGAGGACTTCCAGGCTGATTTGCTTAAGTTTGTTTGGTGTTGGTTTGTTTCACTGCTAAATATCAAAACCTTGGCATGAAAATGAAGAATTATGAAACCATTTCAACACTGTGTCAGGAACATCTACTCGCACAAATGCATTAAAATGGTGTTAATACAAAATACAACATATGAAGATTAGAACCAGTGGGAAATTAAGTACTTCAAGGATGGCAAAAGCACTACAAAAAAGGTAAGAGGTTGCTGAATGCAGAGTTACTCAAGGCAGCTTTTTGTTTTTTTTTTACTATAATTTCAGGCCTATTTCCAATTTTATCCTATAACCTACTAATTTATTCCTCCCCCACTGATCTCAATTTCTCTTTCTGCTAGGTTTAAAACAACATTTGGAATTTTCTATGGTTACACAGTAGCTTCGAGAGAGATGTTTGCATTGCTTATGTCTAGTTTAAATCCCACACATACTGTTTACTGCAATATTTGCCTCCTCTAAACACCTATGAAGTTGAAAAGGAGCCATTACACATCCATCATCAGAAGTGTGGATCTGATTTATGTAATGAAAGATAATGATCACATTCCAAACTTACTAGGGAGACATAAAAACAGTAATAAAATATTTTGTGTATACACTGGGTTGCGTTTTACTCACAAGCATGAGGGCCCAATGTCATACCAGATTCCCACATCGCCCCCCCCTCCAGTGTTCAGCATTTTAGAGGCCACAGGAAAAATGCTTTCTTGCATTTCTGCCAAATGAACTTAAATACCTTTTGGTTTTCACCCTACACTATTTTAGACTGGCTATAGTCCTGGAATGTTTTTTAATCCCTAAATCAGCCCTACTTCAATCCCCTGATGTGCCCTGCAACCCATCATCTTACACTTTTTGACAAGTACTTCTTCTCAAGAGCAGAGTGCTAACTGGGACTAGTAATCAGTATGTTCAATACCAAGTGTTCAAGACCTGCTTGTTCTTCCTCAGAAAGAACACTCAAACTCACAGAAAAGCCCTCCCACACAGATTTTTCCATCCTATGACCATGGTCTCATCTCCAGGAGATCACCAATGGTTACTATCCCATGCTTTCTCCCTGCTTCTCACATACCTTGAAAATACACAATGAAATTCAGCCCCAGACAATGATCAGAAATGGTATTTCTTCACAGGAGCAGTGAGCAACTATTCAGTTAAACAAAAAACAGCACTATTCCCAAATTCTTATTAAGTAAACACATACTGTAATGATCACCATTAACGGTTGGTACTGTTCAAGCATCGCTTAGGGACTCTGAGAAAGAACTGTACGTTAATGCTTTAGCAAGGGATTAGTTGTTTGCTAGCTGTGGGTGAAAAGCATGTTTCAGAGATGAGGCACAGAAGGGCCCAGACTTCTTGATAGGAGGAGAATACTGCAGAAATTGGACTGTGTAGGTGAAGGGGGGGGAGGGGAAGGAGCAGGATCTGAACAGAGTTTACCTATAGACTGCAGTATAATGGAGGAGGGAAGAGAGACAGATTATTCACCAAAACAGTCCTACTGCCAACCACTCCTCTAGGCATCACCTTAGATAAACCTTGGCTAATAGCACAGGGTACCAGAGCTGGCTCAAGTAGCACTCTGCTACACCGCAGCGTAAAGGAATTAGGGGAAGAGCAGGGCCTGAGCCAGAAGTCGATGTGAGGGAACCGAGAGAGAGAAGCTGACAAGCAGATGAAGATGGATTTGTCAAAAAACTACTAAGAAGCAGAGGTTTTGAACGAGCCACACTTTTATTCTATAAAACTATTGCAAAATATTCCCAATTCTTCTAGTCAGAGGTACCTTTTTCATTACAAAATTAAAGAGCAAACCATACCTGAGTCAGAACATCCAGCTGTTCCATAATATGCTCCAAGGTATTTGCGAGACTGGTCTCCTCATCTTGCTGTGCATGGTTTCTACCAGAATCCTGAGGTTTTGTTTTCTTAAGATGAACACCACAATCCATTTCTGATTGCTAGAAAAATAAACAGACAATCTGCTATTGTGATGCAAACAACTGGAGAATGATTGCTGTTTCATGGAGGGTAAACAGTAAAGAACAGTTTATGTTGGGACAGTCTATGCTATTAAAAATAGGCAAAAGAGAACAGGAATTCAGAAAACAACTGGAAAAGGAAAAGCTGCTGCAGACTTGTCTGTCTTTACCAGGTGGAGGGGGGTTTTTTGTTGTTTTCGAGGGGGTGGGGTGTTGTGGGTTTTTTGTTTGTTTTTAAACCTTCATCAGGAAAGGCAAACCTTAGATAACAATCTTGAAGCAATCCTGCAAGGTTCAAGTTTTGTATGTGCAAAGAGCTTTGGCATGCTCGTGGTACACAGGCATAGACTGTACAGGTAAACGAAGACTTACTGAAGCCACACAGAAGTACTACATCCAAGTTACAAGAATTAAGTAAGCTACCCTGAGAGGAGTCCAATTATTTCATTCCAACAGTGCAGTAAAAGCTTCTCTCTGTGTTGGGTAGTTGTAAGAAGGCAAGGATGCAGTACTGTAGTTAAGTTCAGCAAAAGCAGGATGTTCCAATATGCATTAAAACAGACAGTTTTGATTTAGTCATTTAAATTTTGTTTATATCTCAAACTGGTTTTCCCTCCTCGATGAGGTTAAGAACAAGTTTACTTTGAACAGTTTCAAACTGTTTTCAGTTTCAACTGTTTTAGTTATGCAAGCTTGAATATTTCATTCAGAATAAATTAAGTTTTAAAAGCACAAATAGATCTTTACTAGCGAACTTATTCTTCTTTCCTGCTCTTTCAAAATGGTATCCTTCTTCTAGAACAAACACTATTTGCATTATTTATCTGCATTACCACCAATACAAGTAGTTCAGAGAAGTTTATCTAACTAAACAAGGTAGCCAACTGATTAAGCAATTGCAGACTTAAGTTTCTCAATTTACACTAACAGACAAGATTTGAATCTAAAGCCAAGATCAAAGCACTCAAAATGTACTTCTCCATGGCCCGATGCCTGGTGCAGCTCCATCCCATGCACTTGTTACTCACATAAATGACTGAAGTTTGCAACTCAAAGCAGCAGGGAATTCTGACAGACTGAAAAGTGGTCTCTACGTTCTCCCGCATGTACTTTTTCTAAGTTGCTTCTATCTCTTCTCTCATACACACTACCATGAATGCATTTCTCACCAGCACTGTATTGATTTACCTGCTCATCTCTATATTTGATGCCAGGTGTATGCAGATGTGCAACTAAGCTGCAACAAGACCTTAGACCAACTCATACAACTTTAAACCGAAAACTGCCTAGTGCATTATGAAGATATGTATGTACACACATATGTATACACACACAAAAGATATTTTTTAAATATATATATAAAAAAACCTTGTGCTGCTGGGAGTCACTGATTTAGGCCACAGAAAGGCTCCCAAGGCTGAGGTCCAGCCCAACAGTTAGGCAAAATAAGCAATAATCATAGAATAGTTTGGGTTGGAAGGGACCTCTAAAGGTCATCTAGTCCAACCCCCCTTCAAAGAGCAGGAACATCTTCGACTAAATCAGGTTGCTGAGAGCCCCACCCAGCCTGACCTCGAATGTTTCCAGGGATGGGGCATCCACCACCTCTCTGGGCAACCTCTTTCACCACTCTCAGCGTAAAAAAATCTCTTCCTTCTATCTAGTCTAAATCTACCCCCCTTTAGTTTCAAGCCATTCCCCCTTGTCCTGTCACAACAGGCCCTGCTAAAAAGTTTGCCGCCATCTTTTTTATAAGCCCCCTTTAAGTACTGATAGGCTGCAAGAAGGTCTCCCCGAAGCCTTCTCCTCTCCAGGCTGAACAACCCCAACTCTCTCAGCCTTTCTTCACAGGAGAGGTGTTCCATCCCCCTGATCATTTTCGTGGCCCTCCTCTGGACCCGCTCCAACAGGTCCATGTCTTCCTCATGTTGAGGGCTCCAGAGCTGGACGCAGTGCTCCAGGTGGGGTCTCATAAGCAGTGCAAAGAACAGAAACATGACTACATCAGGAAGCTGAAGACTGGGAGCAGGAGGGGGATAGGAAAGAAAAGGCCACAGCAATAACAGGCTTTGGCAGGAGAATGGCTTGCTGCTGTCCACTAATTGCTATAAGGGCTGACCATTCTTCCATCCCTGCCAACCAAAGCTATCCTCATACAGCCAAGCATCACAAGACCAGTTTTGCATAAGGAGCAGGAAAGGAAGGGAAAGGTTTATAGGATACATAGAACAACTGCTCCACAGGGATCACATTGCTACACCACAGGCTTGGGATGCATCCGGGTATCAGGTGGTACCAGCCACACCAGCCTCTGCTAATTTGCTTCCTCCCACCTGCTTGGATAATTTGGATTATCTACAGGCCCTAGGCCAACACAGCCCACACTCCGGGTCACATTGCACAGCCCCGGCATGGGAGCCACACTCCAATACTCCTATGCTGCAAGTAGCCCAAGAGCCACATGTTGCTCACCAATGCATTGATTTAATCAACTAAAATATGATCTTGCAGAGATGAGATAAAGCCAGCCTTACAAAGCTACTATTTGCTGTTTAAAAGTAAAAACAAAAAACCAAAACACTTCTTTTCAATGGGTAATTAGCATTAAAAAGCATGTTTTCTTGTTATTTTAAGGCTATCATATTTAGATGACGTAACTTTAGGTCAGTCAATCATGGCACAGCAGAAATTTGAGTGAGCTAACACTGCATACAACCTGCACTTAAAAACCCCAAATGATGATGAGCTATCCACTTCAAAACCCATTAGAACAAGCTGACTCACAGAAGCAGAAAAATGACTGTACCAATGTATTTTCTCCCTCTATCTTTATAGCATATGTCAGACAGCTTTTCATAAAAAGCTGCTGGGTTGAACTCAGTTGATATTCTTTTTGCTACAGTCCACAAAGTTTAGGAGTCTGGCATATTTGCAAGGGCAATATTGCATAGATGTTCCCACACCTGGTGCTTTAGGGGTCAGGTGGTCCCTCATCATGTCAAGTTGAAGCCAGAGGCAGCAGCAGCTGTTTGTCACTGATGCTACACTCTGCTGATCAGCTCACAGGCTATGTACCACCCCCATGAAAAGCCAAGCAAGCCTCCTCCACGAAGCCTGTGCAGGTTCCTGAAGGCACTCTAAATGGTGGCAATACTCCCAGGAACAGAAGTATATCTACATTGAAAAATAGAAGCAGGACAATATGGCATCCTGCCCCATTTCAGCCACAGCTACTTGAAAGGTTGCTTACCGGCCATCATCATCAAGAAGATAACCTAGAACTTCACTGCTGAAGGCATGAGCTACGAGTTAATTCATCTATCTAAACTAGGGACACATTCAGCCAGCAAATAAAAAACTACGTCAACATATCATGGAGAGTGACTTCCAAAAGGGAGGCTCTCAACTGACCAAGGTCTTCAAATATTCAGTTCTAGGAACAAGCACATCCTCCCTAGCCTACCCTGCCACAGCAGGTGCAAAAAACAAGTATCCAACACCCACATCTACAGACAGCACTTTGAATCACTGCCCACAAACAGTCAGGCAGAGAAGCTGAAGTCAGTTTTTTCTAGCTTCTTACTCATCCCACTCGCTCTGATGACATCAAGCTGCAATCTGAAGTCTGGGACCTGTCCAAGTAGGCTTCTCAAAGAGGGGTCCTATACACAGCGTTCAACTAGGGCTAAGACTGGATTTGCCCAATGCAGGCACGTCCAGTGCAAGGTGGAGCTCACTGAAAACGCCTGCAAGCTCTCAGCTAGCCTCACATAGAAACACTGCAAGCTGTAAATGCAGCCCATGATGTACAGAACATCAGAAGGACAACAGCAAAAGGATCAGCTGACAGCCAACCCAGCCAAGGTGGACATGCACACTGCTGCATCTCACAAAGGCACAGGACTTGCCTTTCCTTTTCACAGCAGAGCATTTGCATCCATATGGATCAGATTCACTAGACTAATTTCAATTCACTTTTTTTGAAGAGGCTGAGGCGCCCAATTAGGTATATCTGTATTGACACCACCCAAAGCATGTCCCTCTGCTACCAGAAGCCTTGTGAACAGAGGTGAACAGTGATACCCCGGCCTTCACTACCATGGCATCAAGGAGAAAAACGGGGGGGGTTTAATCCTTTTGAATTTTTCATGCCAAAGTCTCCATTTATTGATTTACCAATAAGGAAAGCTTTGCCTGCTAAGAAAACACAACTGGGACTTCACAGGGCCGATACTGGGGCGTTTTACACATATCCTAAATCCAAATGGACATCCAGAATTTTGTTTGACATTAATTTTAGAAAGCTGCCAAACATTTTGGTGAGCTCAAACACACTCTTCTTCATTAAAAAAATTGGAAAGAGACTGCAATGCTCAGAGGGACAGGTTGTCTGCCACAAGCACTCAAGTGGACTTCTGCCATGGTTCAAATACAGCAGTGACACCAGTTGAAGCTGTGTTAAAGGCAAAAAAATAAGGCTGCCTCTACTGAATCATTAGTAGAGCTTCCAAATTTGACAGTGGTAAGCATCATTGTGGGGTCCTTCAGGGGAAGCTTTGCCCTTTACATTTTAACGAGAGGGAAATGTTTGGAAGTTTTCCTTTGACAGCTAGACTACAACTGGTACTTACCACTACCTTAATGGCCAGTATGTTTGAAAGGAAATGTGCACCCGCATGAGAGAGAACTGAATTGCACCCAGATTAAAACTTTTGCAAATTCTGTAAAAAAGATTAAATCATCCCTGCTACTGTCCATAAGAATGAAGAAGAAAGCCCTCACAGACCAAACTCCAGCCACCCTTCTCCTAACAGCAATCTATATCATGTGGTGAGCCAGCCACTAGTGATTTAAATTCTAACAGATTTTAAAAAACATTGCAAAAAATATAGGAAGAGCCCTGAAATATGCATTGGCTTCGTGACAGTCTCAGTACTGATGAGCATCACTATTACAGAGAGAGACACCTGTGCTCCCAT